ACCGATGACTGTTCACTCGCTCTCCCTACTTTGGAAGTGAGAGGAGAGGTTATCAGTACTCTCCTTTCGCTGTCTCGTGCACGTTGCTCTGAAATCGGGTTGTTGTGTGTCGCTGCTCTCTGATTTCTCTCATTCTCTCTCTCTCTCTCTTTCTCTTGTCTTCTCTTCTCTGTCTCTGTCTCTCTGTTTCTCTCTCTCTCTCTCTATCTATCTCCCTCTCTCTCTCTATCTATCTGTCTCCCTCTCTCTATCTATCTATCTCTCCCCTCTCCCTCTCTCTCTCTCGTTCCTCCTTTATAGCTTCTAGAAAATTCGCTCCGACCAAAAACACCAATTCTACCAGTCGATGGCCGCAGGATAATCCACAATCAGCTGTTTGCACCGGGAATGACGTCAATTCATATGACCTTTCTTCCGTTCGTGATTGACCCCACGGTCCCCGAGCGTCTGACCTTTCACCTGGCACCGCTGAAGTACGCAGTGCTCTCTAACTGACCCCGTTAGCTTCACAGTAGTCTGACCTTCCTAGCAATGCTTCTCCTACACCCGGCCTCGATTCTTGGCGTATATACTACATATATAGAAAATATATAATCACCAGATCAGCATTATATCCGTACTGGCGCTTATCACCGGGAGAGGTGACCACAAGCTTTTTTAATCAAGGATATGCTTACACGCTGGTCATTATGACCTAACCTACGCATCATAGGCAGTGATACGTATGAGACTAAAAACATGAGGAACTATTCATAAACATTATTCCTTGTTCTCCTCCTCTCCTGAACAGATAGAAGTATAAGATTATGACCTATCCAGTTTTATAATCTTCAAAAGCAAATTAAAATTAGGGAAAAAACCCGCCTGCACAAAATTTCAAGCCGGGAAGACCCCGTCTGTACCAAACCACGCCTAGGGAAAAAACCGCCTGACCAAACCAGGATTCCAAACATACGATCGTAACGCATTTACCAGCGGTCATTAACCATTGCGTTTACCAGTCATGGCAAAGCGATCACGAAGAAATGGTAATTTGGATATGCTGAGTTACAATCGTAAATCGACTCATTCTAAATGGGTAAGCCAA